CCCTTTGACCACCTTCCAGCAAAGAATGGAGTCCTGACAGCAACCACAGAGTGAGCCCCGAAGTGGATCCCAGCTGAGCCTTCTGATGACTGCGGCCCTGGCTGACCCCTGACTGCAACCTTACGGGAGGTCTTGACTCCACAGTCTCCCACTTTATTCACTTCCGGGTTCTCGATCTTCAGAAATTGTGTGAGATGATGAACACGTATTGTTCTAAGCTGCTGAGGTTTGGGGTAGTTTGTTCCTTTGTAACTACTGTAATGCTATATTGTCATATTAAATCCTCGCAGCGTTCCCGAAAGGTGGAGTTTGCTTTTCCCATTTTTAGGATGAGAAAACTGACGCTGAGATGAGGGCAGTGACTTTTCACACCTGGAAAGTGGCAGGGCTGGGATGTGTTCTCATAGCTATTGGATTCCAAAACAGAAGGAACCTGGTTCTGTTTTCTCAGCTGGAGTGTCTGCAGGGTGAAGGTAGAGGAACTGGGAATGGGAGAAGGTGGTCTCTTTCTTTGATGTGTTTTTTCTCCTTTTTATTTTTCATTCCAACCATGTTAGTTAGCAGCCGCTCTATTATCTAGTATGTATATGTGATTCCAGGACAAGAAGTTGTATCAGAAAAAACAGCAGAGTTTTGAGAGGCTTTTGAGTGACCTTGAACAAGTTCCTGCACTTTTCTCGGGCCATGGTTTCTTTGCTGTATGGGGAATATAATCCTCCTTCCACGTGTCTCACCAGGAAACCTCAAAGATCAGGCATGAAGGGATTTTGGAAAATGCCAAGGGTCCTGGTCATGGAAAGGTCTGCTTTGAGTATGGAGCACCCCTGACCCAGGGCTCTCACAGTCTAGAAGGGAGGTAGCCCTGCATAGCGATCTCTGCGTAAGTGGTAAGTGCTCCCTCTTCTCTCCCACACCAGTCTAGCTTCAAGAGACAGAGAACACAGAGAGAAATTGAAGGCCCCGACCCACTTTTTCAGCCTCATCCCTCACCATGACCTCTCTGTTAGGCCACACCACAGCCCGGCTGAACTAGTGGAAATTCCCCAAGCCTTCCGGGAACTTTCTGTATGCTGAGACTTTATCTGTGCCACTCTTCTCCCTGGACACCCTTCCCAACTTCTCCACCTGGTGTGTTCCTACTCATCTTTCAAGACTCAGCTTAGATGGCCCCACTTCTACGATGCCTCTTTTGACCCGGTTCAAGGCCTCCTACTTCTCCCCTTGATTAGTGCACCAGACTCCTGCCTGAGCTCTTGGCCTCCAGCTTCCTTTTTCCACTCAAAGCCCCCATGGTGCAGCCAGCCGCCTTTCTAAAACACAAATCTTGTCCTGTCACTCCCTGCTTAAAATAACCAGTCAATGGAATAATCCATCAATCAATGCTTCAAGGGCTCCTCCTTGCCCTCAGGAAGATATCCAAAGCCTTCAGCAGGAACTCAAGGCTTGGTCCCGGCTGGTGTCTCCAGCCTCAGCTCTCCAGTCTCCCCCGATTGCCCTGCACACATGGTACACCCCTGCCACATTGCTCTCATATCGTGCCTCAGATGCACCTTACTCTCTCGTGCCTCCCTGTCTTTGCTCATCCTGGTGTTTCTCATGCCCATTCCCATCTTCTCTACCTGCAGACTTCCTGCCTAATCTTCTACGTCAGCTCTGATTTAACTCTTCTGGAAGCCTTTCCTGGTGGCCCCAGGAAGAGTTCATGGCTTCCTCTTCTTCCTTCTCCTAAACAACGAGTCATGCTTTTGTTACCGATTGTCATTTTATCTGCTTACCCTGGGAGTTTGCTGTATCCGACCCTGGCTGTGTCCCCAGCAGTGCCAGTGCGGGCATGCAGAGCAGCCATGTAGGATTTGTTGGTCAGTTGGGTCGTTGAATGAATGAGGCAATGGTGGCTGAATCCAGCCTTGAACCATCACCTCTTGGCCAGCCCCCGACCTGCTGTTTCCCAGGGTAAGCCCATTTTATAGCAAAAGGAGAAGCAGAGGAAGGGACTGCTCTGGAAGCGAGAAAGAAAATCAATAAAAATGTAAATCTAGTTGGGAAGAGCTGTCCCAGGCTGGCTGTGGGGAGAGATAAGACTGGGCAGGCTGAGAGCCCTGGCTGACAGTGGAAGGGAGATTTAGGGGACAAGCAGAGCTGCAGCCGGGGCAGCAAAGGGAGTGTGTCTCCCCTCAGTGGTGCCTCCTCCCTCTGTCTTCATCCCTGGTCCCGCCCCCATGCTCTCTGTGCTCCTTAAATTCTTTCAGGGACAGAAGAAGGAAACTTACAAATATTGGTCATTCGGTGTGCTGCCTCTGAGTGAGTGTGTTGTTACTCAGTCTTCACAACTTTTGAGAGACAGGAGATAGGAATGACCAGGCTTACTATACAAGTGAAGAAACAGAGAAGTTAAATCACTTACTCAGTGTCACACTGTGAATAAGCGGGAGTCAGGATTTGAACCCAAATCTCTGACTCTAAACCTCTGTTCTTTTCACTCTGTTCCACTGGAGGTCTACAGCCAGGCCTCAGATGGTCCCCAACCTCTGAAATCAGAGGCTCAGGTGTTTATATGACTGTGTCTGATTTTTTTTTAAGATTTTATTTATTTATTTGACAGAGACAGAGATCACAAGTAGGCAGAGAGGCAGGCAAAGAGAGAGGCAGAAGCAGGCTCCCTGCCAAGCAGAGAGCCCGATGTGGGGCTCGATCCCAGGACCCTGATATCATGACCTGAGCTGAAGGCAGAGGATTAACCCACTGAGCCACCCAGGTGCCCCTTGATTGTGTGTGATTTTAATGCAGATCCATCTTTCATCATTCTTTAAGCTGATTGTCATCCACTCTCCCATTACCTGTACCAGGCTTTCTCCCTAGAGGTGGTGGCCTTTGAGTTGGGTCTGGAAGGTTGAGTAGGACTTCGTGAAGTGGGATGAAGAGGCCAGAAGTGGGGGTGGGGATGAAGTCCCTTCAGGTAGAGGGAAGAACACACGCTGGGGCCTATTAGGGGGAAAGGATTCATTAGGGCCAAAGAATGGTGAAGGTGCTGGGTTCTTTCTCTTCATTTATTTGCACTCCACGCATGGCGCCTGGCTCCAGGCTCTGGAGAGGCATGTCCCTGCTGCAACTCTCTAGCATGGGTCTATGGGCCGAAGGGCCTCTGAGCCAGGCATCAGGATGTTCATTCTTTTTTTTTTTTTTTTTAAGATTATTTATTTATTTATTTGACAGAGAAAGAGAGATCACAAGTAGGCAGAGAGGCAGCCAGAGAGGAGGGGGGAGCAGGCTCCCTGCTGAGCAGAGAGCCTGATGCGGGGCTCGATCCCAGGACCCTGAGATCAGGACCTGAGCTGAAGGCAGAGGCTTAACCCACTTAGCCACCCAGGCGCCCCAGAATGTTCATTCTGATTCCAGGAGAAACTGCTGGATTTTACTACCACTCAGCTCTAGCATGGAGACAATGCCTTTCTCCCAGCTTCCGGATGCTGGGTAAGAAGAAAGTGAGCTCACAGATGCAATTGCTTACGGGTCCTCATTGGCCAGAGGCCATAAGAGGGCTGCTCCCTGGACTTTCTTGGTCACTGGGATCCCCTCCCAGCGGAGCTGACCTACTCCACGCCTGGCTCTCAGCCCTATGTCTCTCTTGTGATGACTTCTCACCCTGACCAGCCTGGGAGGTTTTAAGCACAAGGACCTCACCCTCTCCTTCAAATCTCAGCTCGATCCAGAGGCGGACTCAGCATGAAGCTCATGTTGCTTGAGTATCATCGTCTCTCCTCAGGCCCAGGGAGGGGCCTCTGCAATGTGTTCACATTGTCGTGTTCTTGGGAAATTTGCAAAGGTGAGGTACTTTAATCACAAGTAGTTAAGATTGCTAGTTCTTTCTACTCCAACTACTTGTGTCCCAGTTCCTTTTTATGTGAGGTGGTTGGAGAGGCCAGTGGGCATTTCTGGGATCTGACTAAGGGGCAGGTGAGTTGGGGATCAACTTAATTTGGGTTTGTTGGGATATATTTATATGATTCCCAGTTACCTCTCTTTCTAGATAACTCATTGCTAACCACCTGCATGTAGAGAAAGGCCTCTAGGAATCTTCCCACCCATGTCCAACTCAATCAGCATTGTGACATCAATGTGTCATATCCAGAGGTCATTTGGGGGCATGAATGTGTTTTATGTGGCCTGGCCCTGGAAGTACCTGGGCAATAGAGGGAAAAGAGGTTTGCAATGACAGAACCAGAAGCTAGGCTACAGAAAATCCTGCCAGTCGTCGGCGGAGGAAAATTCCGTCTTTTATTTTAGACGTGTGTGCAACTGTTGGTAGAATATATGCTATTTTTCTGAATTGTGTGATGTATTTGCCTTGACTTCTTTTCACGTTCTACATAAATATTCACTTTCTGACCAAATTTTGTGCTGCTCTTCTTTTTTTTTTAAGATTTTATTCATTTATTTGACAGACAGAGATCACAAGTAGGCAGAGAGGCAGGCAGAGACAGAGAGAAGGAAGCAGGCCCCCCACTGAGCAGAGAGCCTGATGCGGGGCTCCATCCCAGGACCCTGAGATCATAACCTGAGCCGAAGGCAGAGTCTTTAACCCACTGAGCCACCCAGGGGCCCCTTGTGCTCTTCTTCATAAAGAGGGCTCCCCAAAGTGTATAAGCTTCCATTCCCACAAAACCCTGGCTCCACCATTTATGTTCTATATGATCTTGGACAAGTTGCTTATTCGTTCTGAACTGTTTCCTCTTCTGTAAAATGTGAACAAGAATCTGAACAGGTGAGGACTCGGAAAGCTTCATGACCTTATTCCATTTCTGAAACCATTATTAGAGGAAATAACCCAGTCAAATGAAAATTAGACCAGAATATACAGCTAGGGAACGATGTCATATGCAAGAAATAACAGTGAACAATGAATCCAGTAAAACTTAAATCTAAATAACTAGAAATAATGTGGTTGCTGCAAACTCTAATGCACTTTGTAAGAAAGGAATTTTGTAATATAAGAGACGTTATGCAAGAACAAATTTAATAATAAGCCGTGTCTATAATTTCAGACTATTTCTGCAAAACCTGGGAAACAGGAGCAAAGGAGAAGGAATATACACATGTGAATGGCCTCATCTTGTTGGAAGAAACCTTGAAATTCTTGACATTGATAAATACAGGCTCAGATATTTATTAAACATTTGAAGGTAACAACCAGTAGAATCAAAATGGGAGTTAGAACTTCTGTACCTTCATCTTCCTCTTCTTTCACGTGGGAGAACCTCACAGTCCAGCCACAGGAGCTGTTCAGAGGGCCAGAGCCACATGGGCCTCCAGTGCCCTCCTCCTGCCCCCCAGCTTCTCCCCTGCCTCCAGCACAGGGCTGGACACCAGGCTTGGGAAGCCATGGCCGAGAGCTCTGTCTCCTGCTTCCCACGCAGCAGGTCTCAGCCAGGTCAGCTGTGTGGTGACAACAGAATGGGCTGGGGTACATCAGAAAACTCTCTCCCCCTCCCCAGAGGGACAGCCAGGCCGGAGAAGACTGGCCATAAAACAAGACAAGGCCCACTGAAGGACCAGTTGGTTCAGACCCAAGCATTCCACAGACCCCCTCCTTACCCAGAGCCAGACGTTTCACTCCTTGGCCCTGCAAAGAACAGGTCCTTATACCAACTCAGGCATCACAGAGAACCAGGTGTTGCCCCCAAAACATGGTTATCACAGAACCAGACATTATCTACAGAGCGACAGGCAATGAGGATTGGGGCACCCGAAAGGAAATGGTGAAATCCGGATTCTAGTCCACAGGGGTCACAGTGATTTTGGTGGGCCCTGGTCGGTGTGAAGCCTTGGCCATGCATAAGTACCAGTGAATGTGTGTTGGGTGTGTTTGGTCTTTGAAGTCAGAAAATGCCCAGATGTAGGGCCTGGATCTCCTTACCCCCTGGAGCCCCTAAGGCAGAGACCAGGCCCAGACTATGGCTCCCTGAGGCAAAGACTAGAATTTCCTGAGTCTACAGAGTTAGCCGCCCCCTCAGCTAAGTGCCCCAAGGGGCCCTCACACCAGGTTTGCTGAAGGCCTTGACTGGCCTGAGTGTTCTGAGTGTGAGGCCGGCTTCCTCCCTGGTGGGCACCCCTCAGAGCTCAGAGCTCTGCCTCCAGGGGGCGCCAAATGGATATTTCTTGACAGAGGCTGTCCTGGCCCCGCCTCCAGGCTGAGCCGGGCTAGGGAGGAGACATGAGTGCATCCTGACCACAGAGATGGCCATAGCTGGAAGGGGCCGAAAAGCTGGAAAGTCCATTTCTACCCATCAGAGATGGTGCCTGAGGCCCAGAGAGGGTGGGCTGCTCCCGGCAAGCGGCAGAGCTGAGCTAGGGCCAGGTGTGTAAGGCAGCCGGGCCTGCTATGGTCTACTTCTTTATTCTAGGGCCTGGGGGAAAGAGATACAGCCCTTCTGCCAGCAAAGCCTGGTTTCAGGTCAGCCTGACCGGCTGGCAGAGGAAGAGGGAAGACCATCGTGCATGCTTTACAAGTGGCTAACACACCAAACCCCTAGACAACTCTTTGGTTCAGATGAGTTACAAAGGCCCAGAGAGGGTGACTTGCCTGAAGTCACAGAGCAAGTTAGCAGACGAGTTGGAACTGGAAAACAGAGTTCCTGACACCCAAGATTGGGCAAAGGGCCCGGAGAACGCATTCCTGCCCCTCTAGGGCCAGCTCACACTCTGGATTCCTCAGGCTTCTTTTCTGGCCCTGACGTTAACAGCTGCTGCTGTAGGCCAGGTGTGGATACGGTCACCTGGGTCCCCTCATCTTTGTCCTGCTGCCTTAGGATGGCCAAAATTAAGGCAAAGCAGGCCAGGGAGCCTGTCTTGAAGAAGACCTGGAGGCCAACGAACCTGGAAAAGACCAAGGGACCCGTGAATTCAGGACCTCCCTGTTTAGGGGTTGGATGTCCTTGGGGTGAGGCAGAGCAAGGTCAGCCATCACCACTCGATGTGTGGTCAGAGACATTGAAGCCCTGTGGGGGGAGGCGGGGAAAGAGGCCTCCAGCCACAGGCCAGTAGCCCCATCACCATGGCCTTTGTTGGGGAGTCAGGGAAGCCCCTGGAGTTGACCTCTATGGGCGCCCTTCCCAGATAGAGGGGGAGAGGCTCTGCAGAAGAAGCACTGGGTGGGGGGCAGAAGCCTGGGCATCCTCCCTGCCTTGTCCCTAGCCAACTTGTAGCCTGGGCCACTCCTGCTTCTCTCTGACTGTTGAAGAATTCAGGGGGCCTGACAGTTGCAACTTTAGATCACCCCACCTGCCACAAGAGGATTCCCTCTCCCCTGTTTGCCTAACTCACCAAGGCTCTTATTCGATTTTTCTTCCTCTAGGAAATGCCCTGGTCAGTCCCAGCCCATAGAGCCATGCCCTCCGCAGAGCTGGCAGTGACCAGCTCCCTGCTCCCAGCCCTGTCACCAAGTCCTCTCCAACCTCCTATCCCATCCCAGCAGCCTCTTGGTCTTCAAGTTCCTTTGGGCTCCCCATTACACAGATGGGAAAACTCGATTCCAGAAAACGCAGGTCTCCTGATGGACAGACAGATCTGGGCTGGATACCAGGCCTCCTGTGTCCTAGTGAGGCCTTCTCCCAACCCCACTTCAACTCCTTGTTTCTCTCTGACATCTGGGCTGTTCCCTTAATTCTCCCCACACTCAACCATGATGATACATTTCCTGCACAGACCATGCTTAGACCACTTGGGTTCAAGACCCAGTTTTGCCAGTTATCAGCTGTGTGACCTTGGGCTGCTTTAACTCTCCCTTTCTTCATCTGTAAGAGTCAGGAACCATGGCTGGGTCATAGGACTTGTGAGCTCAGTACAAGATAGAGACCTGCTGCCTCGCAGTGGGATATGAATGGGCCTCTTGTCCCTGCTGCTCTCCCACCTGGGACCCCAGGAGTATTGCCAGCAGCCTTCCCAGAGGCCCTGGCAGCCCCCACCCCAGGTCTCACCGGTTTCGGAGCAAGTCGTGGTCATAGTAGCGGCACACGGCCCGACGCCCACAGCTCTGGGCCCAGTGTACACAGGTGGTGTCAATGGCGCTGCCGTGGATCACAGGGCTGGGCATCCAGGCTGCAGGAGGAGGTGGTCAGGGGACAGTGGGGGTCCGGCGTGCGTGCATTACCCACCTCCCTGCTCCCTGGCAGACACAACCCCCCCAGAGCCACTGGGGCCTCTTGTCCCATAAGTCTTCGGCCCTCAAGCCCAGCCCTTATGCTGGTGCTGCCTCACTAGAAGGCTTTACTGCTGTTCGTACGCCCACCTCCAGGGTCCCAGGTCCAATCTGTTGCCAGGGTCCCACGATCCCTAAGGTCAGGACCTGGGTCCTGCTCACCCCTGTGCCCCTGGGCCCAGCACACCATGGGTGTCGGAGCTAAGGGTCCCAGGAAGGTTCTTTACCCAAAACTCTCAGGAGCATGAACTGGATTCCCACAGCCAGAGTCTTGTCTTCTTTCTTCACTCCCCTAACAAGCAGAAACACAGCAACATGAGGATTGAGAGGGTCCCAACCCCCCAGGGACTCTCACCATCCCCTTCTCTCTCAGCACCCAGGGCCAGCCTTCCCCAAGTCCAAAGGTCCTGGGAGCTGGGGTGGGGGTGGGTTCAGGCTCCCCACTCCATTTCCCTTCAACCTGTGGAGCCCAACACCCACGTTCCAGGCACTCCCACTAGCCATCAGGACTCTGCACTGACTTCCCTGTGTTCTTGCTCACAACACCCCCCCGACCCCTGGGCCCACCAAATTCCTCCTCCTTCCTCCTACACTCGGCAAAACCTAAAACTAGGTAGTCAGACATGCCTTCTAACTTCTCAAAATGCTTCGAGGCCCTAGCCTAGGATTCCCTGGGCCTCCTTAGCAATACCAGCAGCTGCTGTTTACGGAGTGCTTACTACAGGCTCCGTCATTCTACAGTGCAACCCCTACTGCACCTCGCATGACGTAGGTTTTATCATTAGCCCATTTTACAGATAAGGAGACTGATGAATGTTGACACAGCTTAAGTGACTTGGCTAAGATCCCACAGCAGGTGGGTGTCAAGGGTCGGTCAGAAATTGCAGCCCACTGCCTGAATTAACTCTTCTCACAGAGGCTGCCTGCCTGCTGGGACATAGGAGTCCTCTACCTCCTCTCTGGAGGCCAGCCAGTTTTATAGATCTATGTGTCTTCTCGTATTTGTGAGGGGTGCCATCCCCCTTGTAATTTTCCAGAAAACAGATAAGGAATAAAAATAATCCCAGGGACGCCTGGGTGGCTTGGTTGGTTAAGTGTCTGCCTTCGGCTCAGGTCATGATCCCAGGGTCCTGGGATCGAGCCCCAAGTCAGGGTCCCTGCTCTGTGGGGAGTCTGCTTCTCCCTCGCCCTGCTCCTTTTCTCTCTCTCTCAAATAAGTAAATAAACAAAAATCTTAAAAAAAAAAAAAAAGTGGTTTAAAAAAATAATCCCAGCACAATGAAATATCCTGTTCTTGGAATTATCCTGTTCTGAGGTCCCCTTATTCCGGCCCCCACCCTAGGCATACGGACTTTGGCCTCAGGTAACGATCTATCAGTCCCAGCAGGCACCCTTAGGACAATGGTCGGCAAGATCAGGGAACAAGAGGCAGTATACTCTTGTGGGCTGGGTCCATGGTGGACCTGTAAGGGCTCATGGACTTGAAGAATCATGAACCACATGGACAGGGCTGGGTTTTCTGGCTGTACCCTCCTTCAACCCGACCCACACTCTAGGGGCAGGGTGGGGGGATGGGCCGTCAGGCAATGCTCCGCTTTGTCCTCACTGTGCCTGGGTGGCCTCTCCTCTCCTGGGGCAAGTAGGGGCCTGGCTCTGGGCCCTGGCCCTAGTTCTCTCTACTCAACACTTGCCATGAGAGCTGGGGCTGGCTTCTGACTTCCTCTGAGCCCCAGGTTTCTTACCTATAAATGGGGGAGGATGACGTCACTTTAGTAGGTTGCCATGAAGACGGAGACGGGGCAAGGAGAACCTGGTCTGTTATGGGGGCGGGGCGGGGGGCAGGACACCCGAGTGGCCTCCTCCTTCAAACCCTGCCTCTAGGATCCCTTATCCTGCCTGGGTTTAAGGACTTTTTGGGATCCCCTGGGTCTGGGCTCGCCCGCTTTCACCTTAGGATGAGCATGAAGGAAGGTGTGTGGGTGAGACTGGCCAGGGCGGCCCCCAGGCTGACCAGGAGCATGAAGGGCAGCACCAGGTGGCTGCAGGACGATTCGCAGGAGCCCGCGAGCACAGGGCCGCCCCCCACTACGCAGCTGCAGTTGGTGTAGAAAACCTAGAGCAGGAAGGGGGCAGAGAAAAGCCTTCAGGAGCCTCCAAGGGCAAGCAGCTGGCCAAGTGCCTGAGGCCCCCAAAGGCTTGTGCGGGACCTGAGGGCACCAACCAGCTGGGGCAAAGCTGGCTGGAGGCTAGGCTTTCTGGACCCAAGGCGAGTGGGAGGGGGCAGCCAGGCAGGTACGCAGCCCACATGCTTTCCACACACAGGGGCTGAGGCTGTGGGGAGAGGGAAGCAGAGGACAGAAGAGGGCGAGGGGCTGGGAGAGCCTCACCCCCTACCACACCACACACACTCCCATACACGCCACTGTCACTCTAACGCACACACAGCAGTCCCACAGCATGCACAATCATACACACACGTGCACACGAACTTGCTCATTCTTTCACCTGGTGATGTCAGAATGTTCCAAATTCCTGACTGTGCCAGGAATCAAAGTAACCAAGATTGTTTTGGGGATCTCTTTCAGGCTCGCTCTCTCAAATAAATAAAATCTTAAAAAAAAAAAAAAAAAAAAAAGCTATGGGGATAAAAGGGCACCTGGTTCGCTCAGTCGGTTAAGCATCTGCCTTCAGCTCAGGTTATGATCCCAGGGTCCTGGGATCGAGCCCCGCATCGGACTCCCTGCTCAGCGGGGAGCCTGCTCTTCCCTCTGCTGGTCCCTTGTGCTTATGACCACTCTTTTTTACATGCTCTCTTGCACGTGCTCTCTCTCTTTTTCTCTCAAATGAGTAAAACAATCTTTAAAAAAACCAAACTATTTAAGAGTGTTTTGGGGAAGGAACACAGATTTTCCAGCTCAGTGTCCCTCCCTTTCTACTTCACTGAGGTCCTCCTCCAGGGCACTGGGTCGCAGAGGAAACTCTCAAGGAGAGATTCCAGCACAGGAGAGAGGGACCCAGACAGCACCATGGGAACCAGGCTTCAGCAGGTGAAGGGCAAGGACGACCTCCGCGGAGAGGGGTGCTAGATTTGGCTCTGGAAGAATGAATAGGAATTTGCCAAGAGGAAAACTGAAATGAGGAGAGGGAAGGAAGGTCAGATGTAAAATACAGGAAAGTGGCAGGCAAGAGCGCTGCAAGTCTTTGTCTGCCTGGGGCGGAGGGCAGAGGGGAGGCGCTCGGGCTGCACTTGGCTGCGCTGGGCCCAGCTGCCTGCTGAGCTTGGGACATAAAAGAGGAACCTGGACTGCTGTTTCCAGAAACACAGTGGTCCAGGGCCCTGCCAATCATCTTGCTGACAACAAAATGCTGGGTAAAGTATTGAAAACATTGTCCTGAGGGTACCCAGGCACTGACAGAAATGGAAAGCCGTTTAGAGAGGCTAGAACCCAGCAAGATGGGCAGGGTCCTGAAGCAAGCTTTGGCCCCAGCAGGGTTGCAGAGCCTACACAAGGGAGTACAGCTTTCTGAGGTCTGGGGGCTCCAGGGCCAGAGGACAAAGCCTAGCCCTCCATCCCGCCAGGGTAATGTCCAATAGGAGACTCCCCCCCAAAACTGGGACCCCTCCAGAGGCTGAAGTCTGCGAAAAGCTGACTCCTTTTCAAGCTGCGAAAAGCTGACTCCTTTTCAGGCTGGCCCAGGGGCATGCTTGAGGACAGCCTGCATTCTCACCACCACATGGCCTGGAAAACTTCCAGCCCTGGATTCCTTCAGAAGTGGTCTCCACTGCCCGTGTCTTTGGGTGCCTCCCAGGAGCAAAGCCAGCCAGGAAGCCTAGGCTTTTCTTCCTCAGAGAACAGTTTCTGACCAGTGTGTCCCAGGGAACCTTGGCCTGTGCTGAGAAACAGGTATGCAGGGCCAGGTGCCATCAGCCCTCGGGGTGGTCCGCTCGGCCTGGGGCAGTCTGTCACCTCCAGCCGTGGGCAGCCTCAGACACTTCCTGTTGTGAAAAGGGTTGGGAGTCCCTGAGGCGGTCTCTGGGAGCCTTGGGAAGCATTTAAGCACAGGAGGGAGGGACGAAGGGATGAAGGCTGGCAGCACCAAAGTCACTGTGGCTCCTTCAAGAGGATGGGCCAGACTGGGGAGGCAGGCCAAGAGGCCCACCTCGGGAGAGAGTGGTGGGAGGGGGAGGAGGGTGGGGAAATGAGTTTTGATTTGAGAGATACTTAGGAGGTAGAATTAGGGCAAGGTGAGAGAAAGAGAGAGACCTGGTGTGTGACCTGCTGAGCACACACCATGTGGCCCTTTCCCTCCAGGCTGAGCAAGCCACTGGGTTGGAGGCACAATGGAGGGACAGGTAAGGGGAGAACTAGGCTAGGCAATGTTGCTAGAAGAGAGAGACCCGCCCTCATGCCTTTTCTGAGTGGCAGAAGATGGCTGGGCTGGACAAAGAGCTAGGGGCCTTCCTCTTGGAGTTTTCCCAGCTCTCATTCCCATCCATCTAACTCCAGCAGCAAGTTCTTCTTATGGATGACGTCAATCTCTCCAGCTGCCTCTGATTCTTCCTCCCCAGAGGGGCTTCAGCCTCACCCCCTGAGCCTCAGATCCCACCAACCGCCCGACTTTCCCCATCTTTTCCCTGGTAATTTACTCCTTCATAAATGGTTTCTGAGCACAGTCGCGCCGGCTGCTGAGCGACCCAGCCCCGGGCCCGCGAGCTCGCTCACGGTCGGCCTGAGGAGGCAGGTTTGCAGCGAGACTATTCCAGGCCAGAGCGACACTTCCTGAGTGCTGACCAGTGCACCTTCCTCCAAACACTATCCCCAGACACAACCTCTGAGGATGCTCTGGGGAGGGGGCTGGGCTGGGAGGCCAGAACCCTGGGTTATAATCCCAGCGCTGGCATTAAGACTGTGGGCAATGCCTGGTCCTTTCCTGAGCCTCCATTTCCCATCTGTATAATAGGCATAACAGGAGTGTGTACTACCCAGTGCAAAATTTCCCAGCCACTGTTTTAAGTACTTTTCACGGGCTTTGTCGTGTGACCCTTTACTCACTGTTTAATGAATTTGCCTGAGGAAAGCATTCAGCACAGTGCAGCCATACAGTAGGTACTCAATATGATCACCTCTGTTTTATAGGCCCAGAAATGGAGACACAGATTAAATAATTTGCCTGAGGTGACAGAGCCAGTTACAGGGAAGAAGGGGGTGGGGTTCGAACCAGATGACCTGGCCGCGGCACTCAGGGGCCCACATCCGCAAAAGTTCACTGTTCCCTGGGGGATCTTGCCCCAGCCAGCAGGAACTGGGGTCCCCTGGAAGAGTATCAAGGAGATGAAACCAGGTAAAGACAGTGAGAATTAAGAAGGCCCCAAGGCCGGGATTGCGATTGCAAATGCAAAGGGTTTGCACAGCCCCTAGGTGGCGCCTGCTGGCCTGAAGCCCCATCAGCCAGCAGCTTTCCAGGGCTCCCGCCCATGGGTCCCAGGTCCCTACCGGGAGGACCCTTGGGCTTGGACACTGATGCCCAGCAGGATGTAAAGGCAGGAGTTCCCCATGACAAAGGTAGGGAACTCTGGAGAAGGGACCCCTTATAATGGCCAGTTTGATACTGCACACCCCCTTCCACAGGCTCTTCTACAGTCTAGGGTTCTGAGGAAGGCAGGTGTTCTCTTCATTTCTCATTTGGGGGACTGAGGAGAAAGGCGAGGGGTGGCTCGTCTTGGAGACCTGTTTAAGGTTCACACCGTATGCATTGGGGCTGCTTATTCTGCCTCCTTCACTGCTGGGAGTTCCTTGAGGGTAGGGTCCCCTGGCTCTGGGTCCTCAGTTCTCCCTTCCCCCCACACACAGGGCCCAGCACAGAGGAGGAGCTCTATGAAGGTTTGTTGACTAAATGACTGACTGACTGGGCTTACTGGGCCAGCCTCTGCTCACCTTCCTCCAACCTACAGCCTCAAGTGTGATCACATACAGATCTGACACTGTTGCCAGCCTAACCAATGCTCCCCAACACTCTCTTGGTGAAGTCCCTACTGGTGGCCCAGCATTCAAGGCCCTTCTTTGCCTGTGCCTCACTCTCCCTCTTTGATACGTTATGCTTCTGCTCCAACAGTTCTTTCCAGGTTCTGGAAACACTGTGTGCATGGGTGTGCAGACTCTGCTTCTGCAGTTCCCCCGCCTAGAAAGCCCTTTCCTAGTTGGCTCCCTCATCCTCGAAGACCCAACACAAATGTCACGTCCCAGGAAGCCTTCTAAGACCCCAGAATGAGAATGTGGAAAGATGGAGAGCGTGATGGGTACACAAAGACAGGGAGGGGCAGATCCCAGGGGAGGCTGAGGGAGTGCTCAGAGCCCTGACCCACCTGACTTTTGTCCAGAGCCTCCTGGACCGTCTGGCCTGTGCAGCCCGCCTGACAGGGCGTGAGGTACTCCACATGGGTTCTGGGGTCACAGACAGGGTTAAAGTCGTCCAGTGGGCAGAAGCAAGGCTCTGTGCAGGCTGTAAACAGCTCCGGTCCAGGCAGGTGGCTGGTGGGAGAGAAGGCAGCAGGGTTGGCCTGGCTTTCCAGCTCTCAGATCCTGAACTTCTCAGCCCCACAGCCCAGCTCCCCACCCTGAGAACCATGACCAGAGATCTGGCTCCATGCAGAGTTTTTTACTGTCAGGGATGCCCCACATGGGGAGCTCCTTGAAATGGGGGTAGGGGAGCAGGGAGATGGGCTAGAGGCTCCCAACAGGAAGAGTGGGGGGTAGAGTTGGATGGAGGCCTCTGAGACCCCTTTCAGCCCCAAGATCCTACTAGCCTTTGAACTTATGCAAATATTCTCCATCCCTCAGTGGCCCTTCTTTGGGGAACATAAGATAAATTCATCCCAGAATGTAGTCTCAGATGAAGAGGGCATTTTTCTTGATGGGCTGGATTGCTTCCTTTTCTTAGAAAATTCAAGTTATGTGTGTTAGAGCAGGCAGGACACCTGATTAGCTGTGGGATCACCCGGCAGTCTCTGCCTGTCTCTGGACGTCAGTGTTTCTGTTGATCAGCTCGGCTGGGGCAGAAGAAAAGGGGAAGAGGCATGTGTGCTAGGCTGACTTTTTTCCCTTTACATTTAGGGGAAAAAAATCATTTAAAGGCCCTGGCTTGGGGCGCCTGAGTGGCTCAGTCAGTTAAGCAGCCAACTCTGGATTTTGGTTCAGGTCATGATCTCAGGGTCCTGGGATGGAGCCCTGCGTCCGGCTCTGTGCTCAGCGGGGAGTCTGCAGCAGGGAGTCTGCAGGAGTTTCTCTCTCTCATCCCTCTGCCCCTCCCCACCTCATGTGCTCTCTCTCTCTCTAAAACAAATAAATAAATCTTAAAATAAAAAAAAAAAATGAAGGTCTTGGCTCTCCTCAGACCAGGGACTTCGGAGGGCCTGGGTAAAGCTCCCCTCTGTGCCTAGAACAAGGGCTCCCCAGACAGGAGGCAGCACAGCACCCTTGCTGTTTGGGAGAAAGAGGGACAAGGAAGCAGGGGAAGGGAAAAGATGATAGGGGAGAGGTTGTGATGTGGGGCCTCGCCAGAGAGAAGCGCTAAGCTTCCCTCAGGTGGGGAAAGCTGGTGTGTGGGTGGAGAGAGGAGATGCCCAGGGAGAGGTAGGAACAGGGACAACTGGGGAATTCTTGCTGGGTCTTGGGCCAGCCTCAGCCTGGAGCAGTTCCCAGGAAAAGTGAAGTCATTCTGGAGGAGAGACAGTGAAGTAACTTCCAGCATCCTCTCGAAGACGGCCCCCACCAGAAGAGAGCATATGTGTGAGGGTGGGATGAGGGAGAAACGAGAAGGGAGACAGGCATGGGAGGAGGCTGTCCTCCTGGTGCTCCCTCAGATGTGGGCAAAGAGCCTTGGATTTTAGGGTCATGGAACAACACAATTTTAGCTGCCAGGCTCTAAGAACCACAAGTTAGACCAACCCCTTCCTAGGGCTTAAGTCTCTTCTCCAGTGTCCATGATAGATGCCTTCCAGCCCCTGCTCACCCCTTCTCTCTACACCCCCACCCCTGGGGATGGAGACTGAGCAGGCTCCCAGGCATGCCTTTCCTCTGCCCAGGAGCGAAGACTTCCTCGCGCTGAGCTGGGCCCTGCTCTCTGATGTGGCCTCTGCCTTAACCTCCACTTGGCCCACAGGGCTTAGCCTCTCTGGAGACGCCGGCCACACAAGCGGTTTGCCCTGTCTTGGCTTCCATCTCTCCCCAGGCCTGAGCTGTCCTGTCTGCAAAGTTCGATCCTTGCCCCTCCTAGTAATGCCTGACACCCTCACTGGAGACTCGGAGACGGAAGTCCCACTGATCAGAAGCCAGGTGGGGAGGGGAGGAGAAGGTGCTGGTGGAAAGTGAGCTTTGAGGTAGACGGGTACCCCCTTCCCCTGGCCTTGTCTAGGCCCCCTTCCTGAAGCCCTCAGCCACCTGCTTCTCATACACTCACCCGGGTGGGTGGGTGATGCCTGCAATCTGGTGGGTAGAGCAGCCCATGAAGAAGAGGGGCAGGCTGAGAAGCAGGCAGAACAGCGCCCCCAACAGGCAGAGGACGGCACAACGCACAGGGCCCAGATGGAGGCGCTTGACCAGGACGCCCCCGACTACGATGCCTACGATGGCTGACGGGATGGTGAGGCAGCCGATGAGCAGGTTGGCGTAGGACGCTGTGACGGAAAACTGGCGCTCCAGGAACTTGGGCAGGAAGGTGGCCATGCCTGCCACCATGGACGACATGCACACCTGGGACAGGACCACCAGCAGGAAGATGGGGTGGCGCAGGGTCCTCAGCAGCACCCTGGGGAACACTGTTGGGGTGAGCGGGGAGCAGTCAGAGTGGGCAGGCCAGCCTGCCTTTTGTTTCTGTCCTGTCTTGTCCTGTTCAGTTTAAACTGGTCTATTCCTTTCATGCTGTCTCATTTAATTCCACTGCGCCCAATTCTATCCCGTTACATTTGACTCCTCTCCATTTAATTCTGTTCCACTTTTGAAACTCAGTTTTGTTCCCATCCTTTGAGTTAGACTGCACGCTACTCAATTGTGCCTCTTTCCATTCGATTCCGTCTAAAATTCGATGCCACAGAGTTCTATCCCATGCCTCCTCTTCCATTCATCTCATCGCCTCCCACCTCGTTCCATTTCTTCTGTTCTGCTTACTCATCTCACTTTCTCCCACTCAGTCCTTTTCATCCTGTCCTGCTCTAGCTCTTTCTAAGCCACCCCATACCTGAGGCTTTCCTCCCGTGTCCCCAGCATGGGACAGCAGCCTGCCCCTGATCTTCCATCCCGTTTCTCTTCTCTGCAGCACTCTACCTAACATACCACATGTTTCACTCCCTTAGCCATTTTACGGTCACCCCACCGGAATATAAGCTTCATTCAGAGCAGGAATTTTTGTCTGCTCTATTCATTCCTGAATCTCCTGAGCCTGGGGCACCGCAAGAGCTCAGGAAATATTTAGGGAATAAATGAATGGAGATACAGGCCAACACGTGATCCAGTATTACGATGTTGGGGCAGAAGGAAGACCTCCAGAGAAGGTGAAAACCAAGCAGGCTTGGTGCTGGGGGGGGAGCTTCTTGAGGTAGGACCTGAAGAATGGACCTGAAGGAAAAGAAATTTCTAGGAGGGGCACAGCAAGAACAAAAACACATAGAGGGGCATAGAAGCGACAGGTCTGGCTTTGATGGCCGCCCCAATCACTCGTTATCTCCTAACCTGGTGCCTCATGTACAGGTTTCCTCTTTGCAAGTCTGCTAACCTGAAGGGCACGTGACCACATGACATGGGGGAAGTTTGGAAAGGGCTTCAAGGGCAGCCCGGGTGACAGCCAAGAATGCTTTCTCTCCAGACACGTGCAATTCTCTCTCCACTGACGTCAGGAGAGAAGGGCATGTGTTTCTGCCCGCAGGAGGTGAGCTGGAAGTTAACGTGAGGTGTGGGGAGGGCAGGCGAGGAGAGGCCCTTCAAAGAAGACACATCAGAGGAGCAAACCGCCTGGCAGTTGGGACTGGAGGGGAAAGATGGCACCGGGGCTCCTCTGGGCCAAGTGGGAAGGTCTGTTCCTGCAGTGGCAAGACCAGGGTCTCTGTTGCTGGAGATCTCTGTCCGCCCTCACAGTGTGGCCAGAGCCCAGTCAGCTAGTTCTCTAGCCCCCTGGGCCGGGCCAGGAACCATTTCCTTAGCAGCCAACAAATAAAGACAAACAGTCCCGGCAGGGTGGGTAGGAGCTGGGGCTGTGGAATTCCCCATCTTTCATGTCCCAGCCCTGCCTCCCGTCCTGAGTCCCTTGCCCTACATACGGCGCATTCAGCCAGTGCGCTTGACGTGAGAAGGTGTGACATGTGGCCTTTACCCCACGTAGCTGCTCCAGCTCTTGGAGAGCATCGGCCCAGGCCAGATGGGTGCCCTCACCAGGTGGGGCCCAACTTCATCTAGAGCGGCCGGGTCAAGGCCAGCAGTTGCCAGGGCTTTCCTGACTCTCAGCGTAAAGGTCATTCCTCCTACTAGACCCCATGCCACCCACATTCCTGTGCCTCTCTGGCAGCCAGAGGGCTCGATCTTGTTCCTTGCTTCTATCTCCCATCACAAATGCACTTTGTACACACCGTCTATCTCTTCATCATCTTTCGCCTGTCCTTAGAACAGATGGAAAATTCCTGGAGGGCAGGGCTATGCCTTTCGCTCAGATAGGGATAACTTCTGGGGAAGAGCCACGTCTGCTGGATAGCTGCTTCCCTTAGCTTAATGTCTCTTCCATCAAGTAAGCTAGGGCTTCTCTCCACTCAGAGACTGTGTCTCCCCCATCAGACAGGGGCCTTCTCTAACTCAGGGACTGTCTTTCGCCAAGAATTTAGGCCTCCTCCAGCTGAAGGGTCCTGGTTCCTCTTTCTTTTGGCTCCCCCATGGCCCCATGTACTCAAAGCCAAGCCTCAGGTCATCACTGATCCCTCTGGAACTCAGCAGAAAGGCTAGAAGCCAGGCTTGCAGACCAACTACAGGGCCTATGGCTAGCCCCCGCCCAGATCTCCTCTAGGCTCACAGAGAAGCTGAAACCACCAGAGACAAGCTGCCCAGGACACCCACTCCAGGATCCAATTTCAGTGATTGGCCCCAGCTTCCCTCTGGGCAGAAGCCAAAGCTGTGATTAATAAACTCTCCCTAGGAGCAGCCTGCTGGGGCCTTTCAGCAGCTGGGGAGTGATCTGAGGTTAGGGAGTCTAAGCCCCTCCTGCCTCTGGGCCCAGCCCCATGTGGTCCAGCCCTCCCCCCTTACCCCAGGGAGGCTGGAGAACTGGAGGCTGGATTACTGGTATCCCAAACAACAAGTCGTAGGACACACTTCCAAGAATTGGCCTGATTAATTTCCTGTTTCAAGAGTCCTCAGTGGGGGCAGGGGTGGGCGCTGAAGCAAAGCCTGCAGTCATCACCTTCCTAAACCACAGGCAGCTCAACTTACTGTCCTGGGACATGGTCAGCCTAATAGTCGGGCAGGGGTGATAATTAAAAAGATAATTATACCTTATATAAGTAGGGTGTTTTTTTTTTTTTAATAGTATACGAAAGGCTTTCCATTCATCACCCCATTTGAGTCTCCTAATAGTCCTTCAGGGAAGCAGAGCAAGGATTATTGGCCCTGAGGGTTTGGAGGGCTGAGAGGAGGGAGAGCCAGGCTTGCTGTGGGGGGAAGGAGAGGAATAACACTTGTGCTTGACCTACGGGGACAAGAAAGATTTTGACAGATAGCAATAGAAACTAATGTTGCAGGCAGAAGGGTTCAACTAAGTCAAGACTTATGGAGTGTATGGTGCTGATGAGGGGTCTGTAGGTGTGAAAGAAAAATCAAGAAGGGCAGGAAGGGGCTGGGTCCTGGACGGCCCCACATGCCTCTCTGGTCCCACTTCTCTATATCCTCTCTTACCTTTGATGAACTGGATCACTGTCAGGTCTGGTGCAATCTGAGTGAGGCTGTCCTGCTTCTCTTGGGACTCCGCCGGGCTCTCAGAGGGAGAATCTTCACCCTGGGAGGACACACAACCAAGGGCCGTCAGCTGGATGCCAGACATTCTGCTCCGAGATGCCCGTGGGCTGGGGAAACACTCTGGGAGAGAAGAGGGCATGGGGCAGTCACCTCATCAGAAGCGATAGGGGTCAACAGTGTTCCATGCGTTTTGGCCCTGAATGAGCCTGGGTGGATTGATGCCAACATGTGCTGGGTCGGGGAGAGAACTGGTCCCTGAACGCTCTATAAGGACCTTTGCTTCACCTTGGCTGGGGAACTCCAAGAAAGGCTGAGGTCGAGTGTCTTGCTAATCCAGGAGGTGGGCATTCTGAGCAGAAGGGAAGTTGATTTTCAGAGAAAATCACTATGCTCCATATGCACATAGGTCTGAGTCAAACGTTGTTCAGTGTCTCTGCCCTGCTGGGCTCCCAGCTCTGCGAGAGCAGGGATCGTGCTTATCTTGTTCTCTGTTGAAACCCTGGTGCCTAGATGGCCTGGGGTGGAATAGTGGGTATCTGATAAGTATCTATGAACAGAAAGAGTGGAAAAGACAGCTGCCATAGGCAAAGAGTGCGGCCAGGCTCTAGGAAGAAAAAGGAGATTGACAGGACAGGCGATTGCGAAGCAAGTGAGCTCCTACACAGCTTCAGTTCGGAATGGAGCATGGGGTCCACACTGAGTACCCCAGGGGCCTGGCAGAATGGAGATTCCAGGTATCCCAGGCTACCAGTATACAGGCTGGGGGCTCTGTCCTCATGTGCACCTGCAAAGGAAGGAGACTTATGCTCTGCCCAGGAGCAAAGCAGCTGCAAGCTTCAGTAACTTGCTCAACATTGCCCAGAACTATGATCTGAGCTCAAGCCTGCCTGTGCCTAAAGCTCATGCCTTATCCCCTCAGCACCCATGAGTCGGAAGCCCTGGTGCAAGACAGGCAGAACTGGGAGGCACCTTTGTGGACTAATGTGAAGGGACCCTAGAGCCCACAGTCTAAGTCACTGCGTGAGGCACTGTGGGTCTGTTACTCATTTATACCTCGAAGCTACCAGGCCTGTGTGGCCACTGGGCACTGGAAATACAGCCAGTCTGTGATGTGCCATGAGTATCAAACACAGGGGGCATTTCAAAGACTTAACATGGAAGAAAAAAATGGAAAACAGCCCATCATTAATTTTTTAAATTGATGATATGCGGAAATGAGAATCAGAGATCTCCTCGCACCTTTCCCTGCCCTAGCCAAGCCATGGAGAGTGGTGCGGGAAGGCTACAGCACCTGAGGGAGGGGGTGCTGGGATCGGGATACTGCCCCAGGAACAGAGGGAGGAGGGGCTGAGATAAACTAAGAACCTTCCAGTGTTCTTATCTAGTATGGATGGACGGACGGGATGCCGGGCTCGGCTCCGCCCTTGGACGGGCAGAATCTGTGAGTTCCTTCCTTGCTTGGGGTTCCTTGTCCTCATGTAAACAGTGAGGATGACTGCAGCGTCTGCATGTCCAGCCCCCTGTGGTCTAGGCAGCACTTTCACATCTGCCATGTCATCTGATTGCCACAGCAGTCTGGTGAAGGGGTCCTTATAGCACCTATTTCGCCGAAGAGGAAACTGAGGCCCCAGAAGAGGACGTGTCACCCAGGGAGCAATGGGCAGAGCAGATTGTTGAAGGCAGGTCCTCCAGGACCACCATCTCACCCCTGGGTCATGCTGTGAAAAAGAGCATGGGGCAGGGGAGGGGCAGAACTTCAGGGGCTGGGGTGAGGGGGTGGTCAGGAAAGGCCTCTAGGAGAAGTGAGGTTTGGGATTTGGAAGGGAGGAAGGAAGAAGTTATTGGAAGCAAGGGCATAGGATAGCAGGAGTGAGGGGGCGGTGGTGGGGGGCGGTTGGGGAAGGACCTGTCTGTGCAGTGGTTTGTGGGAGCAGGTGATGGGGAAGCCATAGTGTCTGGGGCAGGAGCTGGGCAGTTTGGAGGGCCATGCTAACAGACTTGGGCTTTATCAGGTGGGTGCTGGGCACTCCTGTCCTGGGCTCTTCACAAGTTTCTGCCTCTCTCCCCAGATCTGCTTTGAGGACTCCCGACCAAGCGCCGGCTCCGGAAACTAGAAGCCTTGTGGCTAGCTCAGAGCAGGGCTTGGAGTCAGACATATCACATCTGGCTGTGGTTTGCCCTGGTCAGTAGGCCTGTGCTGAGAGAGCTGATTAGAACTTCCCCTCCCTCAGGGCCATGTGCTGACAGCTGCAAGCTTGTGGGACCCAGGGAGCCGTGTGTGGTCCGGTATGTGCAAGGGCCCTGTATCTGCTGGGCCTCCAGGGCTCCAGAAGCTGTCCTTGGGGGAAGTTGGGTTTCTGGAAAGGTCTGAGCAGGCCTGTGACTCCAGCCCCACAGAGCCTCGCTGACCCTGGCGGGTGATATGGCATTCTCTGCCAGCCCTCAGCTGTCATCGCTCATGGCCACGGCAAGTGGCCACAGGGATGGGGTGATGTGCTAGCCTTCCCACCACTGTGGGAGGGAGATCATGTTTCTAGCAGAGCACCTGGAGATCTGAGCTCCGTGGAGGATTGCGACACACTTTCTCCAGCTTTCTTGTTGAGATCTGTGCGACTGGCCATGCCTCCCTTGTCCCTTTGGCCACCAGCAAGCCCAGAACCAAATAAGGGGTTTGGTTTTATCAACCGAATTCATCTTTGTGGTCCACGCTCCTATGTTTCCCCCTCTCTTGCTGATACCCCTTTTGCTGCTATTTCTATTTTCCTGCTTCTTGGTCCTGACTTGGTGATTGAGCCCACATCCCTCCTGCTCTTCCTGGATCTGAATCCCAGCTCCACCCTCCACTAGGCCTGGGGATGAGTTGTTTAATCTCTGTAACTTGACCCTCAGGTGTAAAATGGGGGTTATAGCTTAACCTACTTCACAGGTGGATTACAAAGATTAAATGAGATAATATATACAAAGAGTTTAAAACAATACACAGTCCAGAATAAACTATAGATGTCAGCTTAATTTCCCACTTTTACTAGTTTGGTACTTGAGTTTGGTGTGAGCTGTAAGAATATTAGAAAAAAGGTCATTTTCCCATTGTTTTTGCTCTTAAGAGCTGGCTTGATCAGAGAAAGATATTAAGAATAAGCACTTCCGCTGGTCGGGTACTGAATAATCCACTTTCCATTTTGCTGGTTTCATCCTTTTAAAAATCCCAAGGTGTGAGGCGCCTGGGTGGCTCAGTTGGTTAAGCAACTGCCTTCGGCTGGGATTGTGATCCCGAAGTCCCAGGCTTGAGTCCCACATCAGTCTCCCAGCTCCATGGTGAGTCTGCTTCTCCCTCTGACCTTCTCCCTTTTCATGCTTTCTCTCTCTCTCTCTCTCTCTCACAAATAAATAAATAAAATCTTAAAAAAAAATATATCCCAAGGTGTGGATATTAGTGTTGTAACCATTTTACAGATTTCAGAGTTCCAGGTGCAGAGGCGGGATTCATAACCAGGCTGGTCTCATACAGACACAGCGTGTCTGGCTCCTGCTGGGGGCCTTCCTGACACCGGTGCAGATGCCTCAGGCACCGAGAACCCCAGCCTCCCAGGCCAGATCAGCTACTGATCAGCTCTCTCCATGAGCCTCAGTCTCCTCCTCTGTCAAACGGGGGTATTGGACTTGATCAGTGTTTTCAAAACAGGGTTTTGGCAGCAAAACCCTTTCTCCAACTGAACCTCACTCAAAAGACTGATATAAAAACACATAAAACTAGAATCTGTCTGATAGGTGTGTGTGTGTGTATATACATGTGTTTGTGTGCAGGGGGGTGGAAGACCTTATTCCTATTGGGGGACATTCTCTTCAATCTCCCTACAGTAGCACCCTTGGAGTTCTGTGGGTACAGTTTAAAACCACTGAAGCAGATCGCCCCAAAAAGTCTTCCAGTCCCAGTGTTTGAGGAAGCTCTGATCTACACCAAGCTGTGAGTAGGGGTGAGGTTCACTATAGCCGTGTGGAGCCAGACTTGGCTTGGTACAGACTGGTACATAGGGAGGTGGTGCTGGCCAAGCTCTGGGCACAACCTTGACCCTCTCTGGACCTGAATCCCTCCATCTCTAAGACAGAGTCGGGGTTGAACTGGATGATCTCTCGAGACATTTTACCTTAGAGCACTGAGGAGGGGTAAAGGTGGAATCACAAGGCCTGGGTTGCTAGGGATGAGGAAGGATGCATGAGGGCTCCTGGGCTGGCTGGGAGGGGTCTGGAGGCAGTGCCTGCAAGGGAGAGGTACCAGGCACAAGGGAGACCCGAGTCACCTTGGACCTCCCAGGGGCTGCAAAGGAGCACGAAGTCCAAGGGGAACAGAAGCCTCCCAGCTGGCCCTAAGTCCTGGGTTTTAAGGGCCACTGCCACTGCCCACTCCTGCACCCATCCTTGATGATTCTCCCAAAAAAGCACATCAGGTCAACGATCGGGAGAAAACAGATTTCATGGACTCCTAGACTCATGGGCCAAAACTGTAGCCATATAGAAACATGAATTTTGGGAGTCAAAGACCATTTGAGGCATAGAATCATAGAATCATAGAACAGAACTACTTGAGAATCTTTGCTAGAAACATAGAACTTTAGAACTGTATAATATTAGAATCCCAGACTCTGGGAGACAGCCTAGAATAACAGACATGGAGACTCCTGGCAAATAGGAACTGAGAGAAGATGACAGAGACCAGTTGTGCTCAGAGGCCAGGCAGGGTCAGGGGCTCAGGGGCTCTCGATGGATGAGACCTTTCTCAGCCCCTGGTCCAGCACGAGGGGCAGGCATTCAGCGGGACCTGAGGGTATGGAGGCCACAGGAGGGTTGCTGCCTGAATGGTGTCCTACAACCATAAGGACAGATGGGGCCAGATGACCTGCTAGGGAGCCCCTAAGAGGCCATCTCTACTCCATAGGCCCTACAGAGCCATGTGCCACAAGTCCTACAGGACCTTAGAAACTGGCTAATTATGGAGTGGGAGACTGAGGCTTACAGAGGACTAACACCTGCCATGGTTCACTCCTAGAAGGGTGTCTCCTGGCCACGATGAGGTCAAAGATTCGTGGGCAGAACCAAAGACAGGAAAGCAGAGCTCCTCCCCTCCATGTCCTGTAGGGCCTCTCCCATCTCCCATCTCATAATCTTTTCTGTGGAGACTCTTCATGCTCCTCCCCTGCAGGCAGAGAACTCTAAGCACTGGCCATGGGAGAAGCATGAGCTGTCCGTCAGTCATCCCCCTGTCCGTCTGCATCTGGCCTTCCTTCGTTATCTGAGAGCTTCTTGGGAGCAGAGGCTGAGGAGTGCACCCTTTTCTCCCACAGTGGAAGGGCTCGTGTACTGCTCCATTTAGAAAAGACATCATTGAACCCGTCAGAGCCTGTAGATCCTGTCCAATCTGCCCATTGTACAGATGAGGAGACTGAGATCAAGACCTCCACTGGATAACAAAACCCTGATATTACATGCCACCATTAAAAACTGCATTTACTTGTAGGAGGCTCTTTAGGGAAACTCTGAGCCTGGGAGAAGATACCCAAAGGGATTTCAGAAAGAATCTCCCCTTCACTTCCCTCTGGCCCCCACCACCCGTGCCTGTTCCCACTCTCTACAGAAGATACATCCCCCCATGTCTGTGAGCCTGGACCTTCTGGCTGCCAATTCTGCCTCATTGGGCCCTTCCTCCCTGTCCATCTACCTCTCCTTCAGTGGTCTGAGTGGGCAGGGGCCGCCCTTGTCGCTGTAAACAGAGCTGGCCCAGGCAGAGCCTCAAGGAGGCGGGTGGGGGTGCGGGGAAGGGGGGAGAGAACAATTCCTCCCACATCAATATTTATTGCCTGCGAGCTGCTGCAAGCAGATCTTCATGTTCTCAGCCTTCGGTTCTTTTTTAAGAACCTCTCACTCCCTTCCTTCCTCACTCCCCATCCCCCATGTGCTGACAGAATGAATCCAGACAGCCAGACAGGTTCACAGCTGGGGAACCAGGGCTTCCAATCATCACAGAGATGCTGCTCTTCAAACCCAGATGTCTGCCCCACAGCAGCTTGGACGCAAGAAACTGTGCATTCTTAGACTTCCAGGCACACAGACTACAGCTCCCCAGAATTGGTCCTTGGCACATTACCACATAAAGGGCTGCACAGAATGGGGAAGCGTCTTGCTCAAGGTCACCCAGCGGACACATGACCAAGCCCACCCACGCCTCCCACTGGCTTCTTCACCTAGTCCGCCCCCTGGCTCAAGCGGCTGTCCTCTGTTCAGATGTGAGGCTCAACCTGGACATTGCCCATAACCAGAAACTCCTCACTTCCTCTGTGACCACCCCTACTTCTAAGAACTGTTGCCCCAAGTTCTAGGAATTCTTACCTCATTCAATTTCTAGCCTGAGCGAGGCAGAACCAGGAAGGGCCATCTGTGGTTTCAAGCTGCCTTCTTCCCCTGAAACTGGTCGCTCTGCAGGGCCTGCCTCCCCCTACCTCTGAGCCCAGCACCAGCCCAGGCTTGCACTGTCCTGGGATGTCCCCTAGCAGAGAGGCACCCGGGCCCCAGCAGTGTCCCTCCTGGGTGGCTCCTGGACTCCTCCCCTTGTCTCACCCCACTGCAGGTGCACTGCTTCCCACCTGGACCACAGCCAGAGTGGCTTCACCAGTCTCCCTGCACCACCTGCTCCCCACACATGTCCTCTGTCCCTTCCTCTACTTAGACCCTATGACAGAGCCATGGGACCCCCATTTACCCTCCTTCCAGGGCGACCAGCTGTTCTTGAAGCTGGCAGGCAAGCCCTTTCCTGTTCTGACCTCTATTGGCTGTTCTAACATCAATTTTCATTGGTCTCCCATATATAAAACTTCTGCTCCAGCAGGGGGTGGGGGATGGGTAGTGAGGTTCACAGAGCAGCCATATTTGGGGTTGGACAGACTTGAGCTCAAATTCTAGTTTTTCTAGACGAACACATTTTCAGCCCTCTCTCCTAGGCCCAGACTTTCATGCCCTAAGGAGGACGGCCTCTCTCCCATCACAGCCAGCATATTCAAATGCACCAACACACCTCATTAAATAGAATTATTCTTGCTGCAAAATATTCGACAGGCTTTTTACAAATCATCCCTTTGAAACTAGAATTACTTAGCAACAAATAAGTTATGATCGTGATTTCTCAACAATTACTTTGCTGTGAAATACTAAGAAATATATATTTATGCAAATGTATATATTCCTGACACAGAGCTCATAAAACTCTTGTAAATAAGAGTGCTTAGGAAAATCTTCTAATATTTAGTCTTTGACCCCAGTTCCTGACACAGAGCTCCGAAGATCTGTATAATTCCCTGTGTGCTAGGAAATGACAACAAGCTCTTAAATCCCTTGCAATTTCCTGGGTGAGAGGAATATCCTTTGTTCTAATGAGATGACTCTCAGTAGGCTCTTGGAAGGGAAATGGTCACCAGAAAGAAGACGCTCCCCTGCTCCTCCCCCAATTCTCTAGAGGGGGCAAAGGGCTGGGAACGGAGTTAAGGATTGAGCATGTCTATGTGGAAAAAGCCCCCCCCCAAATCCTAATAGTATAGGGTTCAGTGAGCTTCAAGGTTGGTAAACACATCCATATGGCAGGACGGTGACATATCCCAACCCCACAAGGACAGAAGCTCCTGCATTTGGGACCTTCCCAGTCCCCTCCCTATGTGTTTTCTCATCTGGCTATTAGTCAATACCCTTAATCAGATCCCGTATTGCATAATTAGCAGGTAAACATGAAGTAAGTGTTTTCCTGAGTTCTGTGAGCTGTTCTAGCAAAGAATGGAATCCAAGAAAGGGTTTGTGGGAACCCCTGATTTGTAGCCAAATAGGACAAAAATTGTGGGTAACCTGGGGACGGGCCTACTACCCGTGGCTAAAGTGGGACTGAGCCCTAACTGTGGGATCAAACGCTATCTCCGGGTAAACAGTGTCAGAGTTGAGGGAAACTGTGGGACACCTAGTGGGTGACACAGAGAATCGGCCAGCTTGAGAATCACCCCACACACGTGGTCACAGAAGTTTGTGTGTGGGTCCTCAGGAAAAGAGAAAATCGAACGTGCAAATTTTCAGAATGTAATGAGATGTGTATGAATGCTAAAGAAAATTCGATAAAGTCAACATTGATGATGCATTGAACTTCTATAAACCCTTCCTGTTTTGTCATTTTGTTGTGTACTCTGGAGCCAATCGATTGTTTTAAAGGCCTCTGGAAAATTGGAGGGCCCCACCCCGAATCATCTCTCCTGCCCAGCAGATCTCTGAGGAAAGACCGCCCGCCCCTCAGCTGAGCAGGGGGTTTCAGCTAGAGATCCTCAAGCACCTCATAGCTTGTTACTTATCCATCAATCTTAGTCCCTCCCCTCTAGGAAGTGCCTGTTTTAAGAGTAGAGGCCACATACTGAGCTCCTGTGCCGGCCTGACACCTGGTCCAGAGGACGCACTTCACATACATTTGTCCCCCTCCCTGCTTCTGAAAGGCTGGATTCTTTTCTAAAAGCTGAACCCTTTGTCCACCCTATGGCCACACCTAGAATTCCCCCTCTCCCCTCTCTAGGCTTCCACCATCTGTCAGAGCCTCGCTCAAGTCCTGCCCCTTCAGAGAAGTCTTCTCAGACCCCCCACCCATTCTCCACCTCCTCCTCCTTCTCAATATTGCTCCAGCGTGGCACGTTTAGAAGTCACAGAAAGCGTGAAGTGATGAGCAGAGAGACAGCATGATGGTGAGACAGGGGGCATGGGCTCGGACAGGCTGGGGTTCTCCCCGCAGTGCTGCCCTCGCTGGCCATGTGATCTTGGCTAGGTCCCTTCCCCCGGCCCCTGATCTCCTCAGCTGTGGAAGGGGCAGGACATATTCTTTGTGTGGGACTGTTGGGGGATGCAGCGGAGCCTGGACGGAAAGGTTTTGTAAACTGCCGAGTGCAATGCCCAGGAGGGATGAAGTCTAAGGTTCCAAGGGAGGAACTGGTTGGTGGGGGCTGGAGGCTGGACTAGGGTGGGCTTGTGGAAGGGACTTACTTTGCTGACAGATGAGGCTGTGGTTTCCAAGATCCTTCGCCGAAAGCGGAGCTCATGCTTCTCCCTGGGCATCTCCCTAGGGAAGAAGAAGTAGGGCACCGAGGCCAGGGCCACTGCCCCCGCAGAGATGAGGAAGCCCAGCCACCAGGCACCCACCCATCGGGGGTCCTTTGAAGTCAGGCTGATACCACCTGGAAGAGAAGACCAAGGTGATGTTAGGGTCAAGATGGGCTGTCCCGTCTTGGCCACCATCCTGGGACTGGCCTTTGAGACCTGAGGTGGCCTGGGCCAGGAGTCAGGAGACCTGGACTCCAGCTGTGGCTTTGCCAGTTACGTCCCATGTGACCTTGGGCAAGGCCTTGATCCTTCCTGGACTCAGTTTTTCAACAGCTGGGTCATGGTAGCAGTCAAGGCTATGGACTTTGGAAATGGACTGCTGAGTCTGAATTCCATTACTAACATATCCTTGGGCAAATTGCTTGACCTCTTTGTGCCTCGGGGTCTTCCTCTGTAAAATACGGACAGAAGTAGTACCTACATCACAGGGTTGTTGTGAGAATCATAGAAATCAACACAGGTAAAGCACGTAGAATGTGCTGCACAGATGTCTCTTCTTCTTCCTCCTCTTACTGTTACTGTTATGAGGATTATTATCATTAAATCGATGGTTAGGACCCTTCTTGTGCTTCTCAGACCTGCATCATTAAAACCACCAGGTGTTTGTCAAAAATACCTCAGACCAACTTAAAACTACCATGGGGTGGAGTGGGAAGGTGACCAAGGAGTCTTCCCTTTAACAAGTTCCCCAGGTATAATTAGGACTAGGTTATTCCAGATGTGCCTCCTGGCTGGAGGGCCTGCTTCTCCCATCCAAGCCCTTACCTCGAGGCTGAGTCAGATACCTCCTCCTTCAATTGCCACAGCATCCACAAACACTTTCTAACCACACCGATGCATAAACACAGCAAGCCCAGGAGTAGGGCTGGTGTCCAGGTGCTTGGGCCTGAGCGCTCCTGGCCAGGGGCCAGAGTACACAGTCGGCACTCAGCAAATGTATCTGTAAAGCTGGGGCTGAAGCTGGATTTTGTACTAATTCCCTCCTCCGGCTATTATTCCCCCTGCTTCTGTGCCAGCCTGGTGAGTGCGAGCACAGGCATCTCCCCGACTCCCCCGCTTCTCACACACTCATCTGTGCCTATAGCACACCTGATCGGCCCACCCCATGAAATCCCCCATAGAGAAAGGGTAGGAAGATCAATCAATCTACAAGAATACATCGGCCCGTGGAGGAGCCACGTCTGCCAGGATGATGTCAACAGAGCCCAAAAACATACCACCTTCCCTGAAGCGGGGGCGTGTCCAGGAAACGTGAGGAAAGCCAACCAGAGCTGGCACTGGAGGGCTGGGCCCCTGCTTTCTAGAAGGAAGGAAGGTGGGGTGGGGCTATACCTAGTGAGTCTTGTTCAGAGCTGCCTAGGAGGCAGCCTGGTGCAAAAGCCAGAGAAGAAGCAGAATCGGCACGTCCATCCATTCGCACGTGTATCCCCTGAGGTTCCTAGGGCTTGCTGGAAATCTCCAGGAGAGAGGGATCCTTGCCTTGTTCCTACAGAGTATCAGAGCTCAGGGACCCTCACCACTCCTCACTCTGGCTGACTTCAGACCAAGCTTTGGTCCCACTTCTTGGCCCACCCCTACTACTGCCTGGATCTAAGACTACGGTTCCCTGAGTGGAGCCCTTGGCACAGGTTCCCAGACTCTGAGATGGTCAGAAATAGAAGGGTCCTGAGAGGTCACCCAGTACATTTCCCATCTGAGGTTGGCCCAAGCTCACCGAATCCTGCTCCAAAAGTTCTCTCCTGCAAGCTTCTCTATTTGACCTGGGTCTTGTTGCCCCTAAAGATGGGAGCACCCTACAGGCCAAGAACATAGGTGGTCCTGTGTGCCCTGCAGCGTATCCGAATGCAGGCTGGGGTCAGGGGGAGCTCGGGGACAGGACTGGGCGAAGAGTCATCCTAACAGCACTGACAAGACAACTGCCTGTCTGGTGGCGGTCTGCCATTTCTCTTCATCTCTCACTGGATTCTGATTGCAGCTTGGGGAGGTGGGCAGGGCAGAGAGTGTCTCAAAGACGAAGAAGTTGAGAGTTTAAGAGGCATGTCCAAGGTCAGTGGGATGGCTAGGATTTGAACGTGACCTCTCTGGTTCAGTGTCTCCTATGAGGCCAGCAGACAGTGAGCTAGCCGCAGTGTGCCTCCCAGGGATGGCTGTGTGCTCTTTGAGGCTCACCTTCTGGCATCCTGTCTATGTCCACATAAAGGCGCAGCATGAGGCCGCCCAGCCCATAGGCCATGCCCGGCCCCATCATGGTTACTGCAAACAGGATCCCTGCAACACAAAGCCTGGGTTAGGTCCCCTGGCCCCGGCTTCCCTCTGCAGATCAGTGCCTGCCCTATCTCCAGCAGGCAAGAGTGGCCCAACATCCCCCAAGCAGGCCCAGAAAACTCCAGGGCTTCTCCAGACCTTTCCTGGCCATGTGCGGCAGAGGTTGGGAACTCACGCCCAGCCCCTACCTGGTCCTCTCATCCTCTGACCTCTGAGCCTGGCCTTCCCTCCAAGCCCGGTTCTCACCAACGTAGAGAGGTGAATTGCTGTTGTGGGCAAAGTCATCGATGTAGGAGATGCCGAAAGGCTGAATGGGCACCGCGCCCACGCCGAGCAGGGTCTGGGCCGTGAACATTATCCCCACCACGGCCAGGTGCTGGGCCTCCGTGTAGCTTGAGCAGCTGCTGTTGGAGGGGTCTGGGGTGGGGGCTGGGACCGAGGTTGTGGGCTGGCACAGAGAAGCCTCAAAATCCTGTGGCATGTCCACTATGAGATGATAAAAAATATTATGACGAGAGCTGAGACTCTTAACACAGCATGCACTGGACACAAAACACCATTTTAGGTGCTGTGTACATCAACCATTTTCCTCCCTTCCCCCAGCAACCCTAGGGGATGGGCACTCTTGTTATGCCCATTGCACAGATGAGGAAACCGATGCTCAGGCAGCAACTAGCAAAGGCAGAGGCAGGATTGGAACCCAGGCAGCTTGGCTTCTAGTCCTTGCTCCTAATGTACCCTATGCCACTTTTCTGAGCAGAGGTATGTGGAGGTGCCGTGGCAACTGTGGTTCTCAGGTGGGGCGGGCTGTCAAAAGAGACTGAGGTAGAACGGGGCCAAAAAGGACAAACGAGATTTTCCAGAAAGAGAAGTTGGGAGGGGTACTCCAGGGAGAGGTCAGAGCACATGCAAACCCAGGGGCTTAAGGAGTTCAGCAGGGCAGACTCACAGAGCCTGAGGGACAAGGTCAGGGCTAAAGGCAGGGCCAGGCAGGGGAGGGAAGCTGGACTGAAGACGGCTCTAGGGCCCTTGGCCTTCATTTTGGGTGGGCTCGGGTCAGCTCAGGACACAGACGCAGAGTTCAGTGAAGGGGGATTTCTTAATTTAGTACCAGACAGTCTCTCCCTGTAGCTCACCAATATTTGGTGAGCAAACTTAAAGAGACCCTCATGCTATTATTATCCCAAATGTGGATATAGATGCGGCCTTCTCTCTGTGGCCGATCCAGCCTTTTCTGGGAGCCGGGACACTCAGAAAAGCCATGTGAACCAGGGTCAAGGTCCTGGACCATCAACCGAGGTTGTGTGAGTTGAAACCTGGGAGACCTTGACAGAGGCCCTCAGCCCATCTGGGCCTCAGTTTCCTCACCTCTCAAGAGTCTCCTAGAATGGAAGTTCTACAGAAATTCAGAATTCACAAGCAGAATAATTCAGTGGTTCGGAGCAGGGTTGTGGGACCAAGCTACCTGGACACGTCATGGCCCCACGAGCTGTGGGCCTTGAGGAGAACCCCCCTCTCTCCGAACATCCATCTCCCCACCCGTAAAATATGATGCTGCCAACACCTGCTTCAGGCCGTAAACATGGCATGTGTGTACTGCCCACGCACAGAGCCTACTAGACGTTACGGACAATGATTGTGATAGGGCTCTGTATTCTTTTCGCTTCCCTGTGATGCCAGGGCCTCGCAGGGGGCCTGGTAGAGAAGAATTAGCAACAAAGAGACTAATTCATGTTGGATGAAGAAGGGTGAACAGAAAAGTTGGGGATGCCAAAGCCGGCTGCGTGCCTGGAGGTCACCAAGCCTAGCATACTCATCCGAGACAGGCCCAGGCAGGAGAATGGCTGCCCTCAGGCTTTCCTGGGGCACCCATGGCAGAGGGCTCTTGTGTGGCAGAGAGGAGGAAGAAGAACATGTATGACCCTCACAGGAAAAGCTCTGAAGAGAAAACTCTAGACCCAGAAATGTGTTTCTTTCCCCCCAGCATTCCAGTCAGGCCTTTTGACAGCTCTCCACTCGGGGCCTCGATAAGCCCCCTGAGCTGCTCACCCACACTCTACTTTCCCACTTCCTGGCTGTTGCCCCTGTGGCTCCCGGCACTCGAAACACCCACCTTCTCCTTAACCCCCACCCCACTCGGGGCTCTGCTGGCTCCCTCCGGCTGACTCCCAACGAGCTGGAGTCTCTACCCTGCAGAAAAGCTGCCTGAGCCTCTAACCAGTACCTCCCTGGGAGCTTCTCGGGGCTGGTCATGCTGCTCCCTCTTTCCACCCTGGCACCTGGCACAGAGTGGGAGTGCTGGGGTGTGAGCGAGGGAGGCGATGCTCTCTGACAGCCCTCTTCCCCTGGGAAGGTTTCCATGCCAGGCTGGTCCCAGTGCTTCCTTTCTCACACAAATGACTCACTGCAGGGGTTTTGCTCACCTCTGTCTCCTCTCCCAGGCTGGAAGCTCCCTGGAGGCAAGACTGAGCTCTCTTAGAGGGTCTGACACTAAGTAGGCTATACTAAGGGTTGTTGGGCAGAACACTGGATGGATGGATGGATGGATGGATGGATGGATGGATGGTGGATAGATGGATAGATGGATGGTGGATAGATGGATGGGTGACAGATGGGTGGGTAGCTGGATGGGTGAATGGAATATTGAAGGAATGAAGCTCAGACTGCTTGGGTTTTCTCCACGGGACAGGCATCTGCCTGTGCAATAGGCCTTCACCAACATCTCACTAGGCCTCACAACTCCTGTCTAAAATTCTTTCATTTTTTAATTGGTTCATGCACTCATTCATTCTTTCATTAATGTCATGGCTTCTTGTGAGGATTAAAGCACTAATACACATAGAGTACTTAGAAGAGAGGCTGGCACACCATAAGGGGTACGTGGTGCTATTATTATCATTCCACAAACATTTCCTGAGGACCTACTCCATGCCAGGCCCTCAAGTAGGCTGAGTTGTAAATTCCCCCCACCTCAAAATGACACCCAAGCAATCCCTCACCAAGGGAGGCCCAGAGGGTTATACCCCACTGCCCCCAGAACAACCCCACTCCCCAGGACTGCCAGAAGGACCCGCCCATGCTGGGAGCGAGGGAGCGGGAAGGACCCACAGGTGCCCTGGGGAGCCAGGCCCATCCTGACCCGGGGGCCTGGGAAAAGGCCATGGTAGGTGGTAAGGCGGCTCCTGGCATCCGTCTCCAGCCCAGCCCTTCTGCTCTTACCGGAGCTAGTATGGTCGTAGCGGTATGGCTCGGAGATGAAGTGTGGGAGGCTCATGAGCAGGCCTGCCAGGGCCACAAGGACAGCCCCATAGCCGATCAGTCGGGGCCGGTGTACCCGGCTGCCAAAGTAGCTCACAAACACAATCAGGGCTGTGTTCCCCACCTGCCAAGGGATGAGGGGACCCATTCAAGCAGAGCAGAGTCACCAGAGGTCAGCACTACCCCGGCTTCTCTTGCCAGCCTGGTGCTCCCCTCAGTCTAAAGGACTAGCTGACAGAATGAGAATCATCCGGGCCCCTCTAAACACAGAATCTGGGTCCTCTGAGGTGGAGGGGGCCCCACAGCCCCCATTAGGGGGAGAGAAAGGAGGGCAGACTGCACAAGGCTAGCAGTTCCATTTCATTCTGGAAAGCGGGTTGGACCCCACGTTAGAACAGGGAAGAGTCAACGGAAGGGTTTTTAAGTGTCTGAGATATGGGGGAGAAAAAATCTCAAGCCAGAGAACTAAGGCTTTGGAATTTTAAGGCTTAGAATAAAAAACTGAGGCTGTGGGCACTGGAGGGGATTGGAGAGCTCGCAGGGAAAGGACAGTCTCTACAGCCAGAAGCTGGGGTGCGCTGCCCACCCCATTGCTCCTGGGCCGTTATACCCACCCTGAGCCCCAGGTTCCTTGCTGCTGGAGGGGGCCAGCAACCACAAGAGAGCTGGTAGGAGGACCAACCCTGAGAAGGATAACCACTCTCCATTTTATAGGCTGCACACTGAGGCCCAGAGGTGGAGAGTGACTTCCCCAGGTCCCAGAGCTCGGTAATGACATTTCCTTCCCACCTCTGAGATCTGGAGGTGGGGTCTGAAGACTATCCAGGGGTGCTGTGTCATTGGCAGACCAGGGGGAGATAATTGCCTTGAAATCTCCAGACAGTGGCCTCCTCTGAGGTGGAGAACATCTGGTGGGGGGTGCTGGGGCACAGCTGGACCCTGATCTCTAAATCCCCCCAAAGCAGCTTGTCTACTCCTCCCTGCTTGGCTGCGGGCCCCAGACTTAGGGTTCTCCAGGCAACTCCGAGGGGACATGCGTGCCATGCTATCACTCCCTCCCCCTGCCACCCACTGGTTCCAAATTTCTGCCTTCGATCTCATTTAAATCTATCACACTACTATTGAAGTGACTTCCTCTGACTCCTTCCTGGGACAGGCAATAACCAGGTAAAGGAGCCAAACGGAGAGTGGGCGGTATGGGAATTCTGCCTACCTCTACAATACCCCCCACCCAACCTCTAGAGTGTCCCCAAGGGCAGGACCACCCGTGCTGTGACGTTACAAGGAGGCAGAGGTCAGTTTCTCTACCAGGACATGATGAAGGAGCTGGCTAAGGAGATTTGGGGAAGAAGCTGTGGTGGGGTTGCCTGTGGACAACGGGACGGGAAGGGCTTCTGTCAGGCTAGTGAGAGAGGGGGTGAGGAGGTGGGGGCAAGAGTTTCCCTCAATCCTTCCCCCTCCTAGTGGCTGCACCAGGGCCGGTACCTCGTTGAAGGCAGCCAGCAGCCCTGAGGTCTGACTGGAGAGGCCAAAGCGCTTCTCCACAGTGGAGATGGAGCTCTTGAGGTAGCCGGAGATCATGAGCTGGGCCAGCTGCAGCAGGCTGTGGCACAGGACGAAGAACTGCCAGGGGAGCCATGGCGGGGACAACCGGCGGGCCAGCCGGCGGGGCGGGGGGGCGGGGGTGGTGGTGCAGGGAGATAGGTGGGGATTCAGTCAGAGGGGGCGGTGATTGGGAGACAGAGATGGAGTCGGGGAAAGGGAGGAGCAAGGAATAGAGATGGGGAAACAGAGTCAGAGGAGACAGACACACAGGAGAGAGAAAGAGAGAGTGTTACTAGAGTGGCCATTGGCTTCTCACACAGGCCTAAAAACTACACAAACTGTCCTGGGTACATTCAGGGGTCTTGGTGCCACCTGAGACCCACATGACTGAGAGTAGGGTCTTTCTGGGGCCACTCTGACCCTCACAGCTCCCCTGGGCTGGACTGCACCTTCCTCCCTGTTCCACCACCCTGCCCTTTTCTCCAGGAAACTCTTCCAGATCCTTCTCCACCCCAGCCCACCCACTCCTCCCCTACAGTTCCCTTGGGAGACGACTTCCATACCATGAATCCTCAAGCCACCCACCCCACCTAGCCCCACCCCAAACATCCTGGCCTCCCTTCTGATGAGCTGGAGGAATTCCCAGGAGAAGAAAAACTAACTTCAAAGAAGGGTGTTTATGCCAGAGCTTAAAAATGTTCTCTCTGTTCTTCTGACTTGGTTTCCTCTTGTATACAACAAGGACCATGTCCTTACACCTCAGGGCTACCGTGAGAATCAAACAAGACAGGTCCTGGCCCCCAGAGGATGCCTGGAAGTTTAGGGCTGCCCCTGGAGGAGCCAGAGCTCCCCCAAATTCATACAGATTCAGGATTCCTGGGGTCCTTCTCTTTCTCTCTAGGACAATGGGGGACGGGGAGTGTGGTCCCCCACTGCCCACAGAGTAACCCTTCTTTCTTCTCCGGAAGGAGGGAATGTGTGCCCCAAACCCAACTAAATGCTTTCATAGATTATCTCTTGGATTCTCGTGGCCACCCATCCTACAGATGAGGAAACCGAGGCTCAGAGAAAAGCAGCAGCTTGCTTAGAGTTACATAGCCTTCCCTGTAGGCCCGGACAGCCCTGTTCCCAGCAGGCCCTGAGCGATACCTTGATGCTGTAGAACACGCTTCGCCTCAAGTCCTGAGGGTTTGGGCTGGCTTTACCTCCAGGTGTGTCTTCTGCACCCATCATGGCCTTGGCATCCTTGCCTGACATCTGGGGCTCCTCACCCACCGGCCCTGTGAGACACATCCAGGAGGTGAGAGTGGCAATGGAATCCCAGAGAATGGTCCTGCCCCAGGTCACCCACAGTGTTCCAGGGGTTGGAGGCAATCTGAAAGTCTGAGCACCCCCAGCCTTCCTGAGGCCCAGTGATGGGAGGGTCCTTCCTGAGGGCTCTATGTGCCCACGCTAGCCAGATCCCAGCTGGGACCTCCTGTCTCACACCATCATTCCATTCCCAGTATTAACCTTCCTTCTAGGGAGAAGCTGCTGGCCACACTCCATACCCTTCAAGCAGGGACTCCGGCAGTAAGGCCGGAGCCCCTCTTGGGTCTGTAGCTGTGAGACATCCAGTGCCTGGAGGCTGAGTCTGGCTGTGGGTCTGTCTGGCTCAGGGTAGGATCTCAGATTCAGGGTCAGTGCAGGGTCAAGGCTTGTTCTACAGTCAGGGCATAAAGAATTTTCCTGGGAGTCGTTCAGAACAGATAGCAATGCCCCCACAGGGGACCACCCCTCGTGTAATCCCAGAGCTACCTATCAAACCATGTTGCTGGTTGGCACAGAAAGGATCCTCAGAGACATCCCACTTAACCACCTCCCTCACCCTGGACAAACTGAGTTCCCCAAGTGTGGCAATGACTCAGGAGGCAGAACTGTGGTTAGAACCTGGACCCTGGGTTCCCATGTCTGGGTTCCTCCATGGAAACCATGCCTGTATCCCACTCACTGCAGGGAGAGGAAAGCTGAACCCCTTCAGGGGCATCTCCTAGGGTCTTCTGATGTTTCATCTCAGTGAGATCTCAGTGAGGAGCTCCTAAGTCTGGCCTTGGGAGACTCCACCCTTCCACTTACATGGAAAACGACCCTTTAGGCCTTCCTCCCCTCCTGGGGCCCTGGCTTCCCGCGGAAGCCTCCCCCATTGTTTCACACACTTCTTAACCTGGCAGGAGTTTCCCTTCATTCAACAAGCTCCTTCTGGAGCATGGAACCGGATGCAAGGACACCCCTGACCCAGGCAGGGACGTGGGGACTCTCCATCTACAGACCCCGAAGGCAAACTCGGGGAGGGGCCACAGAGGCCTGGAACCGCCACAGTGAAGGCTCTGTGCTCCTCAAATGAGGTACCTGGAAGCCTGAGGAATTTTTTTCAGTTGAGGTATAATTCATAGGCCATAAACCTCACCCTTTTAAAGCATACAGTTGTGTGGGTTTGGGCATATGATAAAGGGCATCACCACTCATTCCAGAACATTTTCCACCATCCCAGTAAGGAACTCCATACCCCTCAGGAGTCCTCCCTCTCCCCAGCTCCTGGCTCTCCAGCTTTGCCTATTCTGGATATTTCATATAAATTCATACAGGCGAAATAGTCCAATGGTAATTTTTTGTCTCGCTGCTTTCACATAGCACACTGTTACAGTGTGCCTCTGTACATCATTCCTTTTTATGGCTGGATAAGTCCCTTTGTATGGACATACATCACATTTGGTTTATGTTTCAGGTATGGCAAACATTCAGAAGTTGTACACATTTTTGTGTCAACGTATGTTTTCAGTTCTCTTGGGTATGTAGCCTGGAGTGGAATTCCTGGGTCATGGGGCAACTCCATTCAACTTTTTCAGAAACTTCCTGTTTTCCAAAGTGATTTGGCTATCTTCTGCTCCCACCAGCATGGTCTGATGGGTCTAATCTCTCCCCTTCCTTGTAATACTTAGTACTGTGTCTCTTTGATTCTGCCCCCCCCCCCGGGTATAAAGAGATATCTCATGCGGTTTTGATTAGCATTTCCCTAATGACTAATGATGTTAGGCATCTTTTTGTGTACTTATTGGCCATTTGTGTATCTTCTTTGGAGAAATGTCTATTCGATTCGAAGATCTTAAGGAATTTGACTGAAGAAATGGGAGTGTGTGTGTGTGGCCAGGGAGGAGTGCCTTGGGGGAGGGGCATAAGGATTCAGGGGAAACAAGGAGATATTGAAACCAAAGTGACACCTGTCAGGGAGAAGATAAGGGGTTGGCCTAGTGAGGGGATGGGCTCTGCAGAGGTCACTTAGAAAGATAAGGAGGTGAGGGGGAGCCCGAGCGAACTCTCCCAGAAGGGACTGATGGGAGACTTCTAAGCTCTGGTTTCACTCACCAGCATAGATGGGTCACTTCCTAGAGCACAGAGGCTGTTACACGCTCTAACGCAGCTAAGCCTTTACATGCATGCTCTCCTTGTTCCCGAAGCTTCCCCACGGCTCTGGGCCTTGGAGTTTTCATTATCTCTATGCATCTGATGAGCACACTGAGGCTCTGAGGTAACTAGCTCTGCTGGTTAACGTTGGTGAAGGGACTCAAGCCCAGCTGTTAACCTCAACATGACTCCATGCTCCTTGTACAGGTTTGACAAGGGGAAGAAACACAGTGCTCTTCTCCACCATGGTCCAACCAAACCTAACTGGGCTAGCTGAAAGCTGGTAGCACCCACCCACCAAGGAGCCAGGCCAACCAGGTGATGAGGCTGGAGTGGAGTCTGTGAGGGCAGAAGTCACTGACCAGGAGGCCCGGCTCTGAAAGAAGTCCAGGATGTAGAGAAGGGAAGGGGACAGAAGATCAGCAGACCGACCTAGAATCTTCCATCTTCCCGTGGGCTAGTCCTTAGCTTGAGCCTTCAAATGAAGGAGGGAAGCCGTGGCCCCTGGGATCAGTCTGTGCACTGGGCAGTCAGTTGGTCACTGAATGGGGTTGGTCAGGCCGGTAGCCAGGTCTCTTCAAGCTCTTCTGGTGGACCGAGGCCTCCAAGAAGGCTGGCAACAGTGTGACTCTCTAAGTAAGGGCAAAGCTCCCTTCAGAAGGAGCGTCCCGAGTCCAGTAAAGTATGTTCTCCTTGTGTGACATCTCCAAGGGCTTTCCCATCCTGTGAAGATTTTCTCAGGGGTCACCCTGACAGGAGACAGGGTTGCTGTGGGGGTGAACCTGGACTGGGCCTGGGGGTGGCCTTGTGGGAATGAGGGGAAAGACAGGGAGCCAGGCCCCACAGAAAAAAGCCCAATTGCTTCTCTCCCAGGTTAGGGGCTCCAGGTAGGCCAGGTGGTTCCCAGGGCTGGAGCCCACTTCCTCGGAGAGGGCAGGCAGGGAGTCTGGGGGCCTGTCAGTTGGTGACATGGCCGGCTATTCACACAGGCCCAATCAAGTCCCTCAGCTGCTCAGTCATGAGTCTGGCGGTCTCTCAGGAAACTTGTCTGTTCAGGCAAACTGAGCTAGCTAGCTAGTCAGTCAGACAGTCATCCTGAACGTCTGTCAGCCGGAGGCCTTCAGTCCACTCAGAGACCCCAAAAGTCTGTCTAGCGACCCCCTCCCTGGGCAGGAATCAGCATTCTTCACACCAGTTGAATCCAGGGTGATGAGGACCAAGGTTTCAGAGAGCAGCCTGACAGGGAAGGATAGATTTCTCTGCCTGCTTTTTGCTGGAAAGGCTCAAAGTCCTACAGCCTCCACCTGAGGGCAGTTACCCTTCCCTCTTCTCATAACATTCAAGCACCTCTCAGACCCCAGGGCCCAACGGAACCCATTCCCTTCCACGTGCACCTGGGCCCCCCAAGTTAACACTTCCTTCTGACAGCACCAAATTCCCTCCCTAGATTATCTCTCCCTGTCACCCAAGTCCCAACTTACCACAAGGAGGACCCGAGACCCCTTCCCCCCATGCACACTCCCAGCTCCAGAGACAATTGCCCAGGTTTGAATCCCCACCAGCTGCAATCCTGCTCTGTGGCTTGAGACCAGGGACCCCTTTGCTTCCTCATCTGCAAGGCACGGACTGTAATCCCGACATCCCAGGACAGAGAGCGCCCACGGAGAACCAGATCCTTCCACCCCATCTTTGGCCTGGACACTGAGAACCTGAAACCACTCCTTAAGATCCGCATGAACTTGGCCTGGCAATTCCACTGTCTTCATTCGCACTTTTTCTTCTGACGCTTCCCAGACTGATCGCCTTAAACAAATCCCTCCCCACAAAATCCTTACCTTGTTGTTTCCACCAACAAACTGTTGAATCATGATTCTTACCCAACCCCAGTCAAGCCTCCCTCCTGTCCTTCCCTCCCCACCCTAAAGGACGAGCCTTAAAACGAACTTCTAATCCTCAGCAATTATTGACCTTACTTCCCCACTCCCAATCATCGCCAAAGCTTTGAGAAGTGGTCTTATCCCTGCTCACAGTAAATAGACATTGTCTTCCTAACAGGTTCTGTCAGTAATGTGTGGGGAGGCAGCCCAAACACAATGAGTAGCAGCTGTGTGGTAAATGTTTATTCCCCATCAGGCAGCCAGGCTTTCTGTCAGCTGTCTGTCCTGGCACAAGTGCCCCACTGGTTTCCATACTTGCTTTGCGACTGTAAGGACCACTTCTGGAACTCGAGAATCCAGAGAAAGTTCAACCCCGGAGGGCTGAGAAGGTGGGAGGCTAGGAGACCCAGCTCTCTGGCTCAGCCTAAGCCCCTACAGGAAGTGTCTTGGAGGAGTTTGTCCTGGGGGCTTGTGTGAGGAGCTCCCACAGACCGAGCAGCACTATGTGCTGGGCTGGGCTGGGCTGGGCTGGGCTGGGCTGGGTTGGGCTGAGCTCACTCATCAACCCTCCTAGCACCGCTTAGAGGTAGCTGCTGTGATTCCAGGGAACAGAGGAAGAAACCAAGACAGAGAGGGGAAGCAACGTACCCCAGGGTCCTGGGGCTGGTAAATGGCAAAACCTGGACTGGAAGTCAGATCTGCCTGACTCTTGGGCCCCCAAAAGCAACCACAAGAAGGTTGGCTGCAAAGAAGGCCTTAGAACAAATGACACTTAATCCCCATGTAGCCATTTCTTATTCTAGCCTGGCTTCCCTTCTGTCCTTTGTCAAAGGTGGTTTTATGGCAAGAGCCTGCCCTTCTACTAGCTTCTTGAGAGAGTCAGCCATTCGCTGGTAAGTTAACACCCTCTTCTAATGCCTCAGAGAGTGCTGTCAGGGCAAGGCTGGAGAGACAAATGAGGC